CCTCAGGACTCCACTGTGTCTTTTCAGTAGATATGCTGAGTGAATGAATGAATAAATCCCACATGTAATGAATTAATCCCTTTACTATAAACATGAGCAAGATGATAGGTATTAGGGAATAAAAAATGTATAAAATTTTAAATTCCTGATATTTTGTATAATTTTTTAATTTAAATTTACATAATGTTTAATTTCAGTGTTCTGTGTGATGCTAAGTCAAATTTTTCAGCACCCATTGAAGGACAAAGCTCCCACTAACATCATGGTTCTTTTTCAAACATTTCGTTTAGGGAAATATATCCCTCTAAAGGAGAATGTATCACTTACTTGAAAATTCAGGGAAAAAAATCTAAAACCCTTGTGGTGAATGAAAGTGACATTAAGAAGGATTGCTATACCAGCACCTCATTAGTCTTTCAAAATCATGGTTGTCTGAAGTCACGCTCGCTCCAATAGACAGATAAGGTCAGCTGGATCGATGTATATCACTGTCACAGTAAGTGAACAGGCTTCAAAAATGATGTCCTGTTCTGCTTCTCACATGTCCTCAGTTTCCATAAAATTTTAAAAAGGAATCATTGTTATTTACCCTTCAAGAGACTCCAAGAGGCGTAATGATAAGAAACCACTTACCACCACTGCCTGCTGAGAAGAGAATCTTTGCAGACAGTTTTGCCACCTTCCTATTAAATTAATATTTATGTCTTGGCTAATTTACTTTTTACAGTTTGTTTTTGATAATGCCTCTTTGTGGTAGTGAGGTAAATAGAGCAAATTCTAAATTTGTTTAAATAGTCTTCTTTTTAAAAAATTTTTAACATTTATTCATTTTTGAGGGAAAGAGTAAGAGAGAGAGAGAGAACATGAGTGGAGGAGGGGCATAGAGAGAGGGAGATACAGAATCTAAAGCAGATTCCAGGCTCTGAGCTGTCAGCACAGAGCCTGATGCAGGGCTTGAGCTTACAAACTATGAGATCATTACCTGAGCCAAAGTGGGACCCTTAACATACATACATATTATGAGATTACCCACTAAATTTCCATAAATCATGCTGGATCAGAGTTTACCTTATAATCCCCTATTTGAAATTTTACATTGCCTGAAATGTCAAAATGCATTTTACCTCATGATATTAAAGTATCTGTTCTAAGGAAGAGACATTGTAGTTTAGTTAACTGAAGAATAAAACTAAATGAATTCCACTATGTGGATATCTAAAGTATTTGTCTTCTTTGGTGGTGACCTAAAACCATAGATAATTTTTTTTTTGAACCCACACTTTGAATACATTTATAAACTACTATGAGAAGTGAGGGCATGGAGACAGAAAGACAAGAAAATAATCCCTCAGATGATACAAACACAGAACCATCCTAACAAAAGGAGGCTTGGGGCTAAACATTGGTCTTCAGAGTTATGAAGATGTATCTTGCCTTGAAAAGGAGAGACTCTGCTCCATCACACAGAGGCCAAGATGAGCTTGGCTTTCAGCACATGTTTTGCTGAGGAAGAGCCTTTCTAATTGTCAAAGTCCTGAAATGCCACTCTGGGTCTTAACAGTGTGAATGAACCAACTTTGGCCAAAATCTATTAAAAGTTTATCTGAATGCTGTGGTTTAGTGGTGGTAGTGTCTAAAGGTGGGGAGCTCAAGGTCCATGGTGCGTCTGTCCGTTAAGTGCCCAACTTCGGCTCAGGTCATGATCTCACAGTTCGTGGGTTTAAGCCCCACGTCGGGCTCTGTGCTAACAGCTCAGAGCCTGGAGACTGCTTTAGATTCTGTTTCTCCCTCTCTCTGCCCTTCCCTGTTCAACTCTGTCTCTCTTTCCCTTTCAAAAATAAATATACGTTAAAAATGTTTTTAAAAAATAAATAAATACAGGGACCTAACTGGTAACCACCAAGGTTTCTTTGGTTCTAAACAAAGATCAATCAATTTGTTTTATCAGAGTGCAGGACCAAGAAGCCATTTGCCTATCATTTTAAATCAAAATGTAGGCTAGTTTTATTTTAATATGAAGTTTAAGAAAATAATTTTTCTAAACTTCTTGCAACATTAGTGACTTTATTATAATTTGGAAGACTACAGAAAAAGAATCTATTGCCATAGAAATAAAATTTTAAAGATTGACTTTTTATAAAACAATAGTTCTTCCATTTATCTATTGATGGTCCAAAACACTCTCTTAATAAACATATAAGTGCATATACAGAGAGATATAGTGTAATGTATATACCATCTTATCCTGAAGTAAAGTAGAAAGTAATACATATTTTCAGCTCATTTTTAAGTATTTTTTATAGGTTGGTTTACCAAGCTTTTAGCTTGGTTTATTTGGTTTACTTTTAAAAAATAAATGTATTCAGTGTATTCAACTGGGAAAAATATCAACATATTGGGAATATGTGAGCATAAACTATAGTCCCTCAATTTCTAGCAGAATTTAAATTTAAAAATAAAATTTGATAAATTAATATTTATCTAAATTTCCAAATATGTGGTATTAAAATTAAATTTTATAGGGGTGCCTGGGTGGCTCGGTTGAGCATCTGACTTCATCTCAGGTCATAATCTCGTGGTTTGTGGGTTTGAGCCCCGCGTTGGGCTCTGTGCTGACAGTTAGCTCAAAGCCTGGAGCCTGTTTCCCCCTCTGTCTCTGACCCTCCCCTGCTCACACACACTCTCTCTCTCTTTCAATGTCTCTCTCAGAAATAAATGTTAAAAATTAAGAAAAAAATTAAATTAAAATTTATATTTATCTAAATGATATTTGATATGGATATAATGTAGTTACTGAAATGTATAATTTATAAACTCAATAGACTATTTTATTTTTAAAAAAAAAATTAATGTTTATTTATTTTTGAGGCAGAGAGACAGAGCATGAGCAGGGGAGGGGCAGAGAGAGTGGAACACACAGATCTGAAGCAGGCTCCAGGCTCTGAGTTGTCAGCACAGAGCCTGATGTGGGGCTCGAACCCATGAACTATGAGATCATGACCTGAGCTGAAGTTGGACACTTAACCGACTCAGCCACCCGGGCACCCCAGTGGTTCTCTTTTCAATTATTTGAGCAACCTCCATACTATTTTCTAGAGGGGCTGTACCAGTTCCATTCCCACGAACAATACATGAAGTTCCCTTTTTCTCCATATTCTCAGCAACACTTTTTGTTTCTTGTATGTTTTATTCTGACATGGGAGAAGTGATATCTCATTGTGGGTTATATTTGCATTGCCCTGCTGATGAGTAATGTTGAACATATTTCCCTTTGTCTTTTGTCCATCTGTGTATCTTTGGCAAGTGTTTTTTCATGTCTTCTGCGCATTTTTAATTGGATTATTTGTGGGGTTTTTTTGGCATTAAGTTGTTGAACTTCTTTATATATTTTTGATACTAACCCTTCAGCAGTTATGTCTTTTGCAAATATCTTCTCTCATTTGCTAGGTTGTCTTTAGGTTGTCTTTTAATTTTATTGATCATTTGCTTTTCTGTGCAGAACATTTTATTTTGATATAACCCCAATAGTTCATTTTTGCTTTTGATTCCCTTCCCTGAGGAGACATAGTTAGCAAAATGTTGCTATAATCAGTGTCAGAGAAATTAACTCCTTGTGTTCTCTTCTAGGATTTTTATGGTTTCAGGTCTCACATTTAAGACTTTGATATATTTTGAATGTATTTTTATTTATGGTATACTCTTGCCTCCTTTGTTGAGGTTTAATTGATCATATAATTGTGGGTTTGTATCTGGGCTCTGTTTCATTCCATTCATCTATGGGTGTGTTTTTGTGGCAGTACCACACTGTTTTAAGTACTTTATGTAATATATTTTGAAAGCTGGAATTGTAATACTTCCAGTTTTGTTCTTTTTCAAGACTTACTTTGGCCATTTGGGGACTTTTCTGGTTCTATACAAATTTTATGATTGTTTGTTCTAGTTCTGTGAAAATATTGGTCATATTTTAATAGAGATTACATGATTTTTTTTGATTGTTGGATAGGATGGACATTTTAACAATATTTATTTTTCCATTTCTAAAGCATAGCATACCTTTCCATTTGTTTGTGTCTTCTTCAGGCCTTTCATTGGTATTTTACAGATTTTGAAATAAGGTCTTTCACCTCTTTGACTAAGTTTATTCCCAGGTATTTTATTATTTTTGGTGCAGTTGTACCTAGGACTGTTTTCTGAATCTCTCTTTATGCTACTTCATTATTAATGAAGGACATCCAACAATTTTGACTATTTTTATTATAGTCTAAAAGTTTTATCAAATCTTATTTTTTTTCTAAAATTGGTTTCTTTTAACTTCCCAACTTATCTTGGTCTATAACTGGGACCTGGAAGCCTCAAGTTCATTAACCAAAAATTTTAAAAATGGGTGGTAGAGTATATATGTATCATCTTTACTGTGCTCCTTTTACCTAATAACCATTCAACAAAGGTTAGGCCTCATTATTTTACTATTATTACTATCACTGTCATTAGTAATGATTGCTACTAAAGGATTGTTATGAGGATTAATTCACGTGTGACCAAACTTAGGTGTTAAACAGTACAGAGCAGATGAAAAGTACTTTCTCTCTCCTCCACATCCATACCCATCCTTCCACTTTACAAGTGTTTTCCAGAGTCATCCACGCTTCATCATGCTCTGAGTGTCAGAATTCAAGTAAGCACAGTGAAAGAACATAATTTATAATGGTCTCAGAAGGTAAACTAGTAAGCAGGCATGGTGTTTCAGTAGGTTGAGATTCCTAGAGTTAAAAGAAAGTGGAAGAGAAGATGCTCAAGGCAACCACTGGTCTGTTCATTCACATAAATACTTTCTAGTAACAGGTGGAGAGGCTGCTGTATTTCACACCTGAAAGCATGAATGCTTGATATGAGTTTTGACTTCTAAAAGACCATGCATTTTATAGATCAGTTTGGCATTATTGATGCCCTTCGTTTTCATTTTGTGATGAGTAAATTAACAATATATAATTCCATTCTAGGGATTACCTGCAAGTCGTGTAAGGTACAGAGTAGATGATGTCCAGTTTCCTTATCCTGCTAGTATTTTTGATGTAGAAGAAGATTCTGGAAGAGTGGTAACTCGGGTCAATCTTAATGAAGAACCTACGACAATTTTTAAGGTCAGTGCAGTGGTTTCTTTATATTGTCTATTTGGTATTTAACTTTTGAGAGTTCAGTTTAACAGATGACTGTACAAAATAATTACAAAATCATATTATTTTTTTAACCACGTAGATATTTAGGAAATCAGATAAGCAAAAGAAAAAAAAAACACTTGATATTTCACATCTTGGAGATAACTAGAATTTGCCATTTTAATATCTATCCTTATGATGACACCCCATGCAAATGCAAATATACAGATAACGTGTTTTCAAATAATATGATCCTCAGGGCACCTGGGTGGCTTAACCTCAGTCCGTTAAGCCTCTAACTCTTGGTTTCTACTCAGGTCATGATCTCACAGTTCATGGGATTGAGACTCGCATTAGGCTCTGTGCTGACAACTCAGAGCCTGCTTGGGATTCTCTCTCTCTCCCCCTCTCTCAGCCACTCCCCCATCTCACTCACACATGCACACACCCTGTCTCTAAAAATAAGTAAATAAACTTGACAGAATGAATAAATAAATAAAATAATATAATCCTATTATTCATAGTGCTTTTTTAACTTCATAATATACTGTCCATGCCAATAAATATTGTTAGTGGTATTATTTTAATGGATATATGATGTTCTGTTGTATGAATCCACTATTATTATTTTGTCTAATAGTTTGTTGTTAGATAATTAGGCTGTTTCTAATATTTTGTTATAATAATATTTGCTGTTATGAACCTCCTTGTGCAATTATATTTGCTGTTGACCTGATTTTTTTTTCCCTTAAGATAAGTACCGAGATGCAGAATTGTTGGGTCACCTTTACATACGTGTGATAAGTTATACTTCCAGAAAATTTGAAATAGTGATACCCCTCACTATTACCGTAAATAATCTATTTTATTAAATGTCTGAGCATTTCCCTTTTCTATAATTACTTAGAATACTTTTATCATTGTGAATAAAGCCTTTGACCCTGCAATGAGGAAATGCCTTCATCGGTTAATCTTGTGGGTGTCATGAACACTATGCCTCTCGTAATCCTGCCACTATGGGAAGAAATTGTGTCATTTATAAAGTATGACCCCAAGGCTAAATCATGGGCCGTAGGATGGTCTTTAGTTATGGCTTCATGGTCCGGGTTGAACTGGTTTAGTTTAGTAGCCTACTGCTTCCAAAGTTACGCACATTCAGAGAAACACATAGTTTTGAAAATACTTAACATTTCTTAAATAGAAGAATTATTCTTGAGATCGTTATCCAAAAATTCAAATATAAATGGTATTATGGTAGAAAATAATATGTAGTTGTAGCATCTTGAGATGAAAGTCTTTCTCCATTTACCATCTTCAGAACAGTTTCTACTACACGTTATGAACTGGTTGTCTCTATTTTTAAGAGTGTGTATATCTAAGGGTGTATATCTCAGATTTCCAGTTTTATCCTCCAGAGTGAAGTATTTCTGCCCTGTAATCTTGCAGACAATTAATTCACTGGAAAAATTAATTTCTTTTTATAAGCAAGCTAATTAGCTTTTTGCTATAGATATGACTGAATTTAACACTTTTTAAATAAGTGTTGGTGCTTATAATGGTGCACGTTTTTAGTGAGAGCACCAGTGGGATTATGTAAGAGAAATCAGGTTAGTCATTGGAAAGATGCCATATTGCATACCTGTGTTTACCGGTAGTGTCTTATCATAGAGCTAGTAACTCTACTTTGAGTTTTCTGGTCTAGGAAGTGAACATAAGACATCTACCTGCTGGGACTGTTGTAAAGATTAAGTGAGAATATACGTAACATATCCTAGAACCAGGGCTGTGACCTGGCAGACAGTGAGGAAGTGATCATTACCTCCCCTCTGGGGCTGGGCAGTCCAGTGATCAAAATGACACATTTTTTTCTTCTTGTTAATAAATTTGTATTACTTTTTAAGTTGGTGGTTGTGGCTTTTGATGACGGTGAGCCTGTGATGTCCAGTAGCGCCACAGTGAAAATTCTCGTCTTGCATCCTGGAGAGATTCCACGCTTCACACAAGAGGAATACAGGTACCAATTTCTGTCTCTTCTAGTGCTATGCAAAGCTTTTTCATTTGCTTTATTTTGACCTCTCAAAACCAGTGTGATAAGAATTGATCAATGAATGGTCCTTCCCATTCTAGTTTAAGTTTTTCTAAATTAACATAATATTACACTTATTTTGGAAGTCGATTACTTAACATGACAGTCTAAAATAACAGTTTTCATAATACTTTGATGCATAATGGATGCTTTAAAAAGAATTAACACGGGGTGCCTTGGTGGCTCAGTCGGCTGAGCGTCCGACTTTGGCTCAGGTCATGATCTCATGGTCCATGGGCTCAAGCCCCGCAACGGGCTCTGTGCTGACAGCTCAGAGCCTGGAGCGTGCTTCAGATTCTGTGTCTCCCTCTCTGCCCCTCTCCTGCTTGCTCTCTGTCTCTGTCTCTCAAAATAAAATAAAGACATTAAAAAATAATTAACACAGTCTTTGAAAAATACATTGTATTTTTGGGTTCAAACTGCAACTAATTAATGATCTCAATGGTGAGAAGTAGGCATTTAGTTTCATTTTATTGCCAGAGAGATAACTTAACATTTATCTGATGATATTTCTCATATAACCAGTGAAAGAGAGAGGGAGAGAATGTATGTGTGTTTGTGTGTATGATACATATTTTATATTATAATACAGGATAAGCATATATACTATCTTATGTCAGGCTGCCATAACAAAATACCATGGTGGGGGGTGTCTCAAACAGAAATGTACTTCTCACTCTTCTAGAGACTGGAAGTCTAAAGTCAGGGTACCAGCGTGGTCAGGTTCTGGTGAGAACCTCTTCCTGGCTCACATAGGGGAAAGTGACAGAAAGCGAACTCTCTGGTGTCTCTTTTTGTGAGGGCACTATTTCCAAGATTAGATCCCCACCCTCTTATTTCTAAAGGTTTCATCTTCAAATACCATGTCATTGAGGGTTAAGGTTTTAGGATGACAGTCCACAGCATGTGTGGATGGATGGATGGATGGATGGATACATAGACAGATACATAGATGGATAGATATTCTTAGGAAGTGAAGAATTGAAAAAAATAATTAAATTTACTATATTTTATGCTTGCATATGAGTGAAAGATTTATAATGCTTTCCTGAAAATAGAGTAGAACTTTCTTTCATGATATAGTTTAGTAGGTTAGTCTATTTAGAGATAAATTTGACATTACATAATGAGACTCAAGAAAAAGGAAGACTTCATATAGTAGAACACTGTGTCATATTATAAAATTTGTATTTTTATTGCCTTGATAATTTCTAAAAACTACATAAGAACTGTAAGTTAGTGCAAGGGCTAAGATACTGGGAGAGGAGGCAGATGACGTTTCTGGGAACATTTACCATGCTGACTGAGAAGTGTTTTCTTTATAAAAAGTTGCCTTTGCAACATTCAAGGAATAAACTAAAGTATATAATTTTACCAGAAAACTCTACATAACATATATGTAAACCACTGAGATGGAAACTATACTTAAAACTTGGGGCACCTGGGTGGCTCAGTCGGTTAAGCATCCAACTTTGGCTCAGGTCATAATCTCATGGTTAATGTGTTCAAGCCCTGCATCAGGCTCTGTGCTCACAACCCAGAGCCTGGAAACTGCCTCAGATTCTGTCTTCCTTTCTTTCTGCACCCACTTGTGTGCATTCACTCTTTCTCTTCCTCTCTCTTTCAAAAATAAATATTAAAAATATTTTTAAAAACTATACTTAAAACATTAAGAATTCTCGGTCAGTCTGTTTGAAAAACCATTTTCTTCCTTATGTCCCTTATTACTGATTCCCCTTTTATTTTGTTGTCATGGGGGACCTGTAAACTCCAGTTCTTGGCCAGGTGCATGTAGTTTTCTGCTTCTAGAGACCTTCCTTGAACATGGTTATTGTGGTCATGTCAAGAACCCAAATGGATGTAAATTCACTTGTGTTTCTCCCCAACTTATCTAGATTAAATGTTCATTTAAAAATGTACTTATTATTTGGGGTGAGTCCAAAAATCCTTCAGAGCTTCAGCTGCACAAAATCCCCATCTCTGTTCTCCAAAAATTCTCCCATCTAGCCTACCCTTGGAGCCCTGAAGAAAGCAACTGTGATGATGCCTAATGCTGTCCCTTTGAATAAGCTCTGTAAATGGATCCCCTGTCTCTGGGTTTTCCTCTGCTGCTCTTTCCTCTTAATAGTAGTATGTCTCCAGACTTTGGGAGCACATTGCTCATTAAGTCTTTTAACTAAAACATGGTGGCATGAATGCCAAGGTCGTAGATCTCACCAGGACATTGCTCATTTAGCCTTTTTTTTTTTTTTTTTTAATTACCCTTATTCATGCCACTTTTTAAGAATAAAAATGTTTTGTTCAGTGAATAATTTACCATTCCTTACTTTCTCTGCATACAACTACTATCGGCAAGTAGACTTCTATTAATAAAGTTGTTAACTTAGAGAGGAAAAAAACCACCAATTACTTGGTGCTAAGATTAGGAGGAGTCACATGAGCGCACATGAAAGAATTTTTTACCTTTCCAAAGAACACTTCTAACATTTGCACACAGTGCCCTTGACTGTCCTAGTTCATGTATTATTCTGACACATAAAGGCAATTTGATAATCTTGTCTTATCCTACAGTTTATGAAGGAAGTCCTAAGAATCTATGTAATTGCCATAGTGAATTCAGTAGGTCTTGGGCACTGAACAGGATATTTTTTCTTTTTTCATCAGACACTTAGAAAGCTTGGCTAATAAAAAACTGTATCCACCATTGGCAGAAGACACTACATTTTGAATAAGAACGAATAATTGAATTGAAATGTTTAAGTAAGTTTACGTTTGATCTAAAGTATGGAATGAACTATTTTTAAAAAAAGGCTTAGGGCTAATCTTCATCACTTCTCTCTCTGTGCTCTTGATTTCAAGTACATAGCGAGCCTGGATCTGTCACAGTCTTTCCTTCTTCCTCCTGGGCGCACAGCTAGACTCCAGTTCCCAGCCTCACTTGCTGAATTGAGCTGTGGGACTGAGTTCTGGCAAATAAAAAGTGGAAAAATATGGTCTGCACCGTTTCCCAGCCTGACTTAACCTTTTCCCTGTATGGACAGGTGAAATGGAAAAAAACACCCAGAGACCCCTGGGGGTCAGTCATATGTCGACAATCATAGAAATATAACAAGAAAGGAGCCTAGGCCTCTGAGTCATAGATAGGAAGAGGAATACTGAACTAGGAATGACATATGTATTATGTATGGCATATATATTATATTTATATTTATTACATACATATATCTTTTTTTCACAATCATTTATAGACTCAGCCAGATGCACATAACTCCCAGAGGTGCTAAACAATGTTATTAGACTTTGACTATCAGTAGGATCCCTTGTGTTGGGATTGATGGGTGGCAGATAATGCCACTCTGGCAAAAAGATTATTTTGAACTAAAAGCACTTAAAAATGAAAAGCTACAGGAAGGACATTCTAATCTCTCCTTTACTTCCTCAACACAGGACCCACAAACTCTCCTTTATCAGGAGGAAAAACATTCTTTAATGAGGAGTCAAAGCCAACAGAGCTGATACAGGGTTGGTTAAGATAATTCAAATCTCCCTCCGGCCTCCTTCTCGAGTTTACTTTTCCACAATGGTCTCTCTCTGTTCATCCTAATACAAAAGTATGGCAGTGTTGCCATTCCTCTGGGTCTTCATTGCATCATGAGGGCTCTCCTGTCACTGAAAACTTATATAACTGTGTGTTCACTCCTACTAATGTGACTTATGTGTGGTTCATACTTGGACCCAGCCTGAAAAGCTTGGAAGGGGAGACGTAGAATCTTACTTCCCTTACAGAATTGTTCCTGGTGCAAAAACATTTTCATATGATCCAGTTTGGGGGTACATAAAAGGATAACCAAGATTAGTGTTCCTGGTTGGGTGAGGAAAGGATGCTCACGAAATGCAAAGGGAAAGCGGTGATCAGAGATGAGTAGCTTTGCCACGTGAGGTACATACCATGTTTACATGTCATGAATGCCTTCATTCTCATATTGGCTCTCGAATTGCTTCAGAAAAACAAATTTTCAACAGATGTCTAGGTGTGAAGAAATGTTCTAAAATATTCATTCATTTTAGAATATTGAGCTCGATTCTTTTTTTAAAAAATTATTTTAATGTTTATTTTTGAGAGAGAGACAGAGAGAGAGTCAGGTAAGGACAGAGAGACAGGGAGACAGAATCTGAAGCAGGCCCCAGACTCTGAGCTGTCAGCACAGAGCCAGATGCAGGGCTCCAACCCACAAACCATGAGATCATGACCTGAGCTAAAGTCAGACACATAACCAACTGAGCCACCCAACTGCTCCTTGAACTCAAATCTTAAATTGACCTTCTTCCCTAACCCATTTATCTTGTTTGTGGAATGATCAGTCATTAAATCTTGGATAATAAGATTACTTCTGGTTGGTTAGGCTGCTGTAAAAAGAAACCCTTAAATTACAACAACTTAAAGAATAAAAGAAAAAAATAAAAAACAAAAACAAAAGATGTGCTTTGGCTCACATGACCATCTAAAGTGAGTGTTCAGGGGCGCCTGGGTGGCTTAGTCGGTTAAGCGTCCGACTTTCGCTTAGGTCATGATCTCACGGTTCGTGGGTTCGAGCCCCGCGTCGGGCTCTGTGCTGACTGCCAGCTCAGAGCCTGGAGCCTGTTTCAGTCTGTGACTCCCTCTCTCTCTGACCCTCCCCTGCTCACGCTCTCTCTCTCTCTCTCTCTCTCTCCTAGAAATAAATAAAACGTTAAAAAAATTAAAAAAAAAATAAAGTGAGTGTTCAGGTTGGTGGTAACTCTTCATGCAATTCTTTCATACAGTCGTCAGGGACTTGGACCAATTTAGGGTCTTCCATCCTTAACACTGTTTCAGAATTATTCCAGGATCACCATTTCTGTCCCTTGACAGGGAAAAGGCAGCAGAAGTCCACATCCAGAGAGTTCCT